TTCATTAACTTGTAATACAACGTGTCTCCTAATTACTTTTTCCAGCCCTAAAATCCAAATTATTATAGTTTTTGCAATTACAACTTTAATTTTGTAGGCAAGGATGAAGAAAAAGTTAATAATAAGACACGAATAAAAGTTGAAAAAGGTCTCAATTTAACTGTAGACATCGCTTAATTACCGAACAATCCAGAAATGATAACGAGTTGCACATCTACAAATTCATTGTGGACTCACCGGAAACCGAAAGAGGATTGCAACCAGCCCTTTACTTGCCCATTGGCCCAGCTATTTCATCATGCATACGTGCAATCATACATGCATGCATACCTAAAGCATACTGGCATACAAACTGCTCCAATGAGATCGAATTAGAAGGAGCCCAACAGGCTTCACTCCGTGGCAACGTTGCTTCGGTTTACGATGAGACCATTTCACGAATTGTTGCAACCAACTTTTCCTTCAGAATAGAAAGTTGCGCCCCAGCACATCACACTTGATCTTGGCAGTCGAGTTTTTCTTTATGTGATTGTGTTTCTGTTTTATTTCTCTTTTTCATCTCGTTTGTTCTGTCGCAACGCGATCCAGTCTGCACCTGCGCCGTGCGCAATTGCCTCGAGGCCCGGTTCCGCAGTTTCCTGCCGCCGATGCAACTGCTCCGACAACTCGACGGCCGCTGGTGCCCCGCCGAAGACCGGCCAGCCTCGGGCCACTCGAGCTCCGCGTCTCCCGCGGCAACGGCCTCCGCTTCAGTTTCCGCCGGCCAACACGGCCTGCTCGCCTCGGCGGTGCCCGAGGCCGACATCGTGTCTCGGGCGCCCGGCGGACTGACGACCACCGCCGACGGCGACGGCGACGGCAACGGCAACGGCGACGGCGACACCGCCTCGGACGCCGCCACTTCGACGTTGCCGCCGCGTCGTCCTGAGGCGGCCAAGGGCGCCGGTTCGAGTCCCGCTCAGTCGGGCGGGAATCTGCTCGCCGACGGCCACTGGCCGGGTCTTCGCCAGCGCATCACGGCGGCGCGATTGGCTCGTCTCTCGCTCGACGCCTGGCAGGCCAGTCTGGCCGGCAACCCCGTGGGCACCCGCACCGCCAGGCCTCTGGGCGCGCCCAGACCCGGCCGGCCCGACTGGCGCCGGAGCCATGCTCCGCTCGGCCGCGGGGTCCGAGGCGCGCCGGCCTCGGACGTCGGCGAGGCGACCTGCGGCGCGCCGCTGGCCGGCTCGTATGCCGCCTCGATCGCGCATTTCTCAGTCAACCTGCAGCAAGTGCTCTACGGACTTCGGCCACTGCTCGACTACCCGATCGACGAGGCCTGTCTGGTACGTCGGTCTGGCACGAGGTTGCCGAGGCCAGTCTCTTAGACAGCGTGTCGACGAGAAAAATGCGGGTTTCCAAGAGTCTTATGTGATTGGATTGTTGTCAAGGCATACATATCGTGTGGAAGTGCAAAGAAAGGTTGTCTTCATTTTTAATGTATCAATACAACTATAGCTGAAGAATGATGATAATAATTCAAGTCACAGGCATTGAATCATTTATGTACCGGATAGATTAGTGTTACAGTTTCAAAGAAATGTTTACATTTAGTGTATGCCTAGCAATTGTAAGTAAACAAATACCAATCTTATTTTATATGCATGTTGTCAAGGGAATATAATAAAATAAATGTATACATGATAGAAAACCTAATAGGCAGCCTAATACAAATGCACAATTAACCAAATTCGGGTAAATCTTGGCTTGATTTTGCATTCATACATTTGTCAAATATAGCGCTTATCCATTGCCAGGCTAAAGATATTTATACATTTTGATATACGAAGAAAGTGTCGGTTTCGAATAATGTCATAAGATAATAGTGTTGTCAAGACTTTCATGTATTATGAAAATGCATTAAGAAGAGATTAAACAGTCTATGTTTTAGGAAGCCACTGGCTGACGTAGTTCACGAGACCTCCTCCGACATTTCGGGTAAAGACGGGCTGAGCTTTCCTTCGTGATGCAACGAACATCGTCAGAGCTGGGACTCATTCTTGCAAAATCCTCAGGTCTACAAGAATCACCGTCTTCTTATGTCTCATATATATACTCACTGCTAGCAAAATGTAAGATGTGGATTGATGTTAAAATGCTTGTAGAA